CTAATATCTGAGTAAAACGAACCCCACAAAAGCATGGGGTGATCTCAGGTGCTCCGGTAGGGAAAGCAGATCTTGCTTGACATGTGGCAACCGTCGTGTTGCTCATTGTTTATAAAAAGCTGTAAGTTAGTGAAAATTTATAAAAAAAACTTGATCGTTTAACTTAAGCAGTAAGCTAGCAACGACCTTTAATTGTGTCCATGATGTGTATAAACTAATGATTATTTAATATACAAAGGATTCCTTTTTATCTTTGGAGATAACAATCTTTAAAGCTTTGTCTGAGGAAATTGTTTTATCAGTAAAAGGTACTTTTACATAGTTACAGATACCACATACTTTTGAATTTCTGTCGCTACTAGCATCTTATCTGTAAATATAGTGTTGCTCATGAAAAGCTAATATTTTACAATATGTATCACCCTACTTTCTATTCTGATGCAGTTCATTGAGCTGTATCATTAAAAATGGAAATATTACAACTCGGGAGAATTCGTTTATTTATAAAAGCATGGGCTACCCATTCAATATAGTTAACAATTCAATTGATATTGTTCTCTCTGGTGATAGTCTGACGATATTATTTACTTGCAAGCCTTTCACCCAAATACTGTCCATTTCAGCTAAGTTGTATCAATATGTTAACTCAACCTTAAAATAGTATATTTTATTGTTTTTCTTGGGTACAAGTTTTAACCAATAACGGTCACTAACTTAGCTTATTTTCTCCAGTAGTCAAAACAGTTTGACCCTGCTTCCTAAAATACGAGCCGTCTTTTGTTTCTTTGTTGAAGTCAGAGGTATCCTGTTGGTTGCGGAACTTCGCAGGGTTTTTTTTTGTGCCTTTAAAGAACAATGAGAAAACTAACAAGAAAAAAGATACACTTTTACGGATGAATAAATATGATACAATTGTATACCTTAAGCTATTTCAGTTGATATTTTTTAGTGTGTCTTTCTATGTTGTGATGCTACACTATTGTTTCAGAAAAAGGGTGAAGGTTTGGTACCATTAAAACGTTTAAACCCGCTGCGTTTGTTTGCACCTGTCCTAAGTCAGGAATCTGATGTTCAGTAGTTATCGTTTGTTGATGTGGTTCATAAGTGTTTCTCGTTTCTCGTTTTTTATATAGAAACCGTTGGTTTTCCCGTTTGAATGGTTTTACACTAGTAATTTTTTGGGGACCTTTATAGCTTACTGTTCGGTGTGAGCCAAGGCTCCGTGTTGAAGACCGTACTGTGACCTATAATGGTTTACTTTTATAAATTTTGACTTGGATGGAGAGTTGTCTCATTGGCACTCATACCACATCTTCTTATATCTACTTAAAGTTATTTTGGTATGTTAACAGGGTAACATAAATTGCCATATTCAACAAACATCTCGTCTTACTTTTTATCTTAATATATAAAACCTATCCATTTAATGTGTATGATATGTTCTACATATTAGTTTTTCTCCGGTTCTTTTTTGTTATTGTGTGGTGTTTACTTCTTTTGTTATTGTGTGGTGTTTACTTCATTTTATTCGTGTATCTAAAGTTGTTGCAACTGAATTAAATGAATTAACAAGATGACAATGAGCCTTTCGACAAATTAATACATATTTATTCTTTATAATCAGGTATCACTCAAAGGAAAATATACTGCTTTTGGAACATTTTGTATTTTATTTCAAGGATTTTAATTTAATTGTTTTTTATTTGTCTGAAAATCAAAAATAATTTTATTAATACACAAACATATCGCTTGGTTTTTGTATGGAACAATGTATGATAACAACATTAATCATGTTAACGGCACATATTTTACTACACAAGATGTGTATTTCGAAGGTCTACTAGTGATGTTCGAATGCAAAAACAAGCCGTCCAAAATAAAAGTTTCAAAACAGAGAAACCAAATAGGTCCATAGGTGAAACGAAACCGGGACAAAGTTAGAAAGCAAGGCACGAGAAAGTTACAATCCTTGATATAGCAGATGTAATTGAATAAATTTGTTCATGTACAAAACATGTTTGTCGAAAATGTCAAATACAAGTATCGGTGTGTTGCAATATGTAGGGAAATATTAATGATCAAATAACTATCAAAATGTCAGCTAATGTTATGAATGTTTGATATCCAATAAAAATAAAAAAAATAAACATTATTGATCACAACAACAGCATACGGTATATTAAGTTGCTTGGTCGATAATTTTAATTTTCATTTATGGTGATACATTAAGCTATGATATTATTCATCAAGGCTAGTTGACCTGATAAGGATTTTGCAATGCTTGTTATGTCCCTTTTGGTTTTAACGATATTAACGTAATTAGCGTGGTTTTTTGTACAGATATACGTATAGAAAAATAACAAAAAGTATCGACTAATCATAAGTTCTAAAGAATTGTTATCCAGTTTGAAAAAAAAAGTATTTATATACGAAATTATGTAAATCAATATATTTGGGGGTTTTGATAGACCTGAACGCTATATATCATGAAAAAATTTAAACTCCTGAATTTCACTTAAAATCTATAATGTCTAGTAGATAAAAAAAAGTTGTTAAGCTTTAAAAAGAAAATTATTTAGCTGATAAATATCAAAATTGAGAAAAAGTAACACTACAAACCCGGTAAAGAATCAAAGCTTAGCACAAAGAAGATAAATCAATTGATTTAAATGTTCCAACATTTGATAACAACACAATCATTTTATCAAAACTATATCTGTATTTTAGACAACAGTAGATGTTCAAAGCAAAACATATGTACTTCTCACATCATTTATTTTTATTATTATCACTTAGTGAATGTCATTTTTGGTCATTTATCTGCCCTAGTATTCAAGCATTTATATTTGTATTACTTTAAACTGGTAAAGAAACACCGAAAACAGTATTTAAACGCAAGGTATGAAGTGCGGACTTTCATTTTCGAGCACAAGTTCAATACCGTTGCTGATTGATAAGTAGTTACTAGTGAATATACTGCTAAGCTATAAGTTCTGTTCTTTATATATACCTTCTCAAATTTCTCCTTTTGGCAAATGGAGAAATGGTATAAAAACAAAGGGTTCAACTCTCGCAGTCACGGTTGACTTTAAGTTGGATTAAGCTATCATTGTAGGTCTATTTGATCATGTACCTCCTCTAGTAATCAAGTATGTATGCGTCCTTGGCTTAAAAGTTTTCGAATTGAATGTTCTTGATGATGGTTATCTATAAACAAGCGCATCGGACTCATCAAATGTTTAAGTGCTAATTTCATTGTATACGATGGATGATTTGAGGATCCCATACAAACTCATTGTAGTTACTATGGTTCGCTGAATGCGGAGTAATACATTGCGGCATCAGGGTGCTTAAAAAAATTAAAACAACACGTTAAATAATTTAATGCGTCCGAAGCGCTTTTTTCTGGTTTCCATTTAAAAAGTAATTGGTAGGAATGATTTATAAATGAACATCCATAAACAATCCCCTTTTTTCGTTCCGATTTGATGAAATACATGACATAAAGAAACACTTGTGTGTTGTCCTGATCGGCAAAGCTTAAAACATTTTATATACATTCTAACATGTCTAAAGCAACATGAATCAAAAATCGAAAGGATGGTTTATAGGGATTCCTTTGCATTTTTATTTTCTCATTAAATGCTGATAAATTGACCAATATGATGACATTGATGACACAAAGTTTATGTTTTAAACATCACACTGACATGTTCTTTGTTAAAACAAATTGGCAAAACAATGTGGCAGGAATAACAAAAGCTGGACATCTGCAAACTATTCATATTTGGATTCTGTTCAGCCAAAATATTGGGCCTACGGTGTAATCATTGATTAATGTTTTTCTTCTCACATATTAGCAAGCATTAATGATTGAAGACAAACGACTATTGTTTGATATTCATTTTGTGGTACTATGACATCATTGTCCACACATAGATCTTGTTCAAACACAGTGACAAGTCACAATTTTAAGTTATATTTTGTAACTACTAACCCAAATAAAACATATGTACAAGTATGAATCACGGACAGATGTTTTTTAGTTTCTGATGATATGAAAAGTGTTGCCTCAAAAGCATCTCTAGATATTGATTGAAAAAAAATAAAACAAATATGTCTCTTATGATGGTACAATTCCGACATGATATGAATTTGACATTATATAAGATAATAATGTTCTTTATTGTATAGCCACAACGGACAACGATATAATATCTATATAGCATGTTTTATGTATACAAATGAAATCATTATTAGCTAAAAAAAAAATGATTGACATTACAGGTTGTGCTGTGTGAAAAAAAAAATCTATAATTAAAGTATTTCACAATGAGACAATATGAAATGACAACGCAATTAGATAGTCGGCTGTTGTCTGCTCTATGGTCGGGTTGTTGTCTCTTTGACACATTCCCCATTTCCATTCTCAATTTTATTAAAGGTAAACATTTCAAGAACAGCAATTGTGAGTGAAGCTCAATTCTGACAGAACTATAGATAGCGATTTAGATTACGATGTTAAATCGTGACATCTTAGTTTTGCGTACATTGATTCGTTTAGCGAACCTCGTAACCTATGATGGGGTTCACCGTTTCGTCTAGCGTATATGGTATTTATATATAAGAATTAATTGTGTTCTGCTCGAATCTACAAAAATATCGTTTTCATAGGCTTAACGTTTAGATTGGATAGAAATTTCATTGTTTTATTTATTATTAAATAAATTAATTATAACTTAACTGACACTTGATCAAAAGTTATATACATAAATGAATTAAATAAAAACATTAAAATAAATGTAAGTACAGGATAGCTTGATGAATTTTGGTTAGCTTTGGAAATACGTAAATGATAAACAACAGAGAAAAAAACGTACACCTGTCAAAACAAACAAGAATGAAGAACATAACAATTTGCCGCAACAGGCTTAAAAATGTATTGCATATAAATTTATTTATTTATTAAGAAATGCAGAACTATACCTTGAATGGTTGAATAGATGGATAGAAAATTTTATTTCAATTCAGCATAGTATAAAACATATTAACATAAGCTTTGATGAGCTTTTTTACAGAATATAAAAACGTATATTGTTTACAAAACAAATAAAACAAAGCGTCATGTACATATGAGGCTAAAGACATGTGAACAATACAAATATATACGCAATGCCAAAAACAAATATCAAAATATTATGATATGTCGGTAGTGAAGAAAGTACTAATAGTAATACTGGTTTATAATATTTTGCAGTTACACATTAGAGACTTAGATCCACGTCCTGTCTCTAATTGGCGTCCGTTCCTTAAATGGACGTTTAATATGACGTGACGTGAAATCAATATCAAATATTTTTACCCTCTAACCGACTTCCAATATGATTTCATATAATACCAAAAACGACGTCCAATCGATTGTAGTCTCCACTCATCGATGTCCAATATTTTTTATTCATTTATTCTGAATTTAATCTCTGTGTATTTAACAGTATCGTTTTGCCCTTGACTAAAGCTGCAAAAAAAAGCTAATTGATTTCTCATATCTTTACTCTTAACAAATCATAATGATTTATTTGACGGATATGACTATGAGAAGGAACAACAAAGAAGATAGCATCCCGTCCTAAATATTCAACTAAATAGGAATAAAAGAGCAAATATCAGTAAATGCCACTAAGAAGATACCGACATCATATTACGTGTTCACGCATAATCCTTGTTTTGGTGAACGAACATAATCCACTCGGTCTATGTTGTCTTATTCCGTTCATATGTATATTAATAAATGACTTGTGGATATATGACAATGAAACAGAAACCCAAATACAAAGATAACCGAAAGACATCTAAGGTTGTAATATACAGTCTCGATCAATTGAAACGATAAAGAAGTACAGTCAATTGTTGAAAAGTATTATTATTTTGACTCTGCAAGATTTAAAATATTGCATTTGTTAACGACATTTGCATTCGAAAAATGTTTGTATCAAATCAGGTATGTGACAGTTGTTTTCATTAGATAAAGTGTTGACGTCATTGCGGATAGTCCGTAAACAGGACGTTAATTAGAAAAGCAAAAAGTTGGACGTCGATTTTAGAACCAAAATAAAAGACGTTGATTAGAGTGGCATATAATTGGCCGTCAATTTGCAATATTATTTTACTATGACATCAGGTTTGAACTTTGATTTGAGGAACGGACGTCGATTAGAGACCAGACGTCGATCTGAGTCTTACATATATATATTTGTAATTTTCATTTACCTATAACCCCTCGGAGTATTCTCGTATTCTAACTTTTTCTCTTTAATGTATTCGTTATTTGATAATCAACAGAGGCAATATATGCAATATATATTGAGTAACACAAAATGAAAAGGTATTCAATAGAGGCTCTGGGTATTCAAAGAATATGTGATGATCTTATACTATCAGACGTCAGAGTTTTGAAACATTCCGTATATATATATTGATCTGGTATCATGGAATTGAATGCAATAGCAAACAATATAAGGACTAGATGAATATCACGGCTATAATTTGATATATAACGTTCTCAAGTTGTATTTAAACTGTTGATATAAGACATGTTGTGGAGATCGTTTCATGAACTTTTTTATGATGTCTATCGACAAAAACAAACAATCAAAACTAAAAATATAATCATATTCGAAAACTAGTTGGTGTATACTGCGCATACAAACTTAGATATGTGTACATTGTTTAAAGATAGAATTGTGAATTAATCTATTTTTACAAGAGTATATTCGGAGTCTTAAGGTTGTTTTCTTTTTCGCATTTTTTATGCAGACACAAGACATATCCATGCTTAGAAATATTTTGATTGCTACAAGTGAACGCAGTTATATAAGTATTTATAAATATTGATAGTCAGCATTATCGAATCATTTCATACGTATTTCAGATGAAGAAATATAAATTGAAAAATGTTTGTTAAAGCGGACTTCAAAGAGAGCACCCATTCTTTAAATTAAAAAAAATGGAAGCCCGTTCATTTGTAGAAAGCTCAAATTTTATTGGTTTAAACATTTATAAAAAAAAACATGATCCTTAAAAAACAAAAAACAAATTTGATTTGCTGATTTAAACAAAATGTTTCAATCTAGGAGTTATATGACTATACGTGTTTGAATCTGACAACGCTCATTTATAATTTCTGATTAAATTCGTCGGTTTCTTTTCTTTTGGTTTAGGTGATAATTATCACACCAGAAAGTAGAAAGGATCGTTTTGATAAAGGACTTTCCGTTTTTAATTTTTCCTTGGAGTTCGGTATTTTTGTTATTTTACTTTTTTCTCAGATCCTTTAAAGTGGTAGAAAAATGGCAGTTGGTGAGATCAAAATGCTGGCTTAGCCCTTTTGTCTCCACTTCAGAATATTGACAAGTTGAAGAGCAAAACAAACTTTAAAACATACAATAAAGGTCTGACCAAACGCGCATCTGATTCGGTAATGTTTAGATAAAAAAAAACTTGAAATATTAGCCATGTAAATAGAATTAAGCTAAAAACTCTGAAAAAATCTAACCTATTCGAATTCTTAAGTAGGCACTATACTTGCAGTTCTTATAAAACTGGTATATATAATGCTCAAAGCAAACGAGTACAAAATACAATTGCGAAAAATGTTTTTATGTCTCAAAAAAAACATTTTGCAAATAATAGTTTCAATAATCAAAACCCTCTCAGTTATGATTTGTATAAGCCTTGAAATAAATAAAGCAATAAATAACAAATAAATATATAATACATGTTTAACTCTATAAATATATAAATACATAAATCAATTAGGAAAGTACAGTTTGCACACCAGAATGATCATTTACAACATGTTGGCCCTTTTCGAGTTTTAATAACACAAACATTCTCCAAACATGTCACAGTCACTGTTCAACTATATTTAAAACCGTATGTAGTCCAGTGGTTGTCGTTAGTTCATGTCTGTCATTGTTGTTCGTAAATTGTTTTGTTATAAATAAGGTCATTAGTAATCTCAATTGAATTCATTGTTTCATGTCGGGACATTTTATAGCAAACTATATGCTATGTGTTTTTCTCATTGTTGAAGGCAGTACGGTTGCGTATACTTGCTTAAATCCACTCCACTTGAATGCGATGGATAGTTGTCTCATTGGAAATCATACCACACCTCCTTATTGTTATATGTATACAACAAAAGGAAATTATCAATCGCTCAAATTGAAATTTTGAATATGTTAACTCTATTTCAATTTTTTGATTTAATTCATTCCAAACATACTCATTTTTACATTACATTCTAACAAAAGCTCTATTGAGTTTGTAGTGAAAATGAATAAAAAAAAAACATATGAACGATTACGAAGTACTTGTAAGGAATCTTGCTATTTTGTCAGAAAACTTGTTGACATACGTGGTATTTGGCTCACAATTTGCTCTGAATTGAAGAAAGAGTTCTGTAAAGATCCCGATACAGTTAGATTGACATTCGTCAAATATGCTTTAGATTAACTGTACTTTTAACCGAAATTTTCGGAATTTAAAAAAAAAATACATACTTTTAGAAATATTTCTCTGTATAGTTTATTTTGATGATAATAAATCGATCATTTGTTTAAAAATCCATCAAGAATTTAAGTCATTAGAATATTAAAACTGTTATCACAAACTGAACCTAAATGTTGACAACGCCGGCGACGACGGGATTAAAAATCGCGTTGCCAAGCTCCTACTCAAAATGTCAGGCTTAACAGAAATAATTTCATATAACTTGTATGAACGTTTGTTTTAAAATTCGGCAGAATAATTCCAAATATTTCCGACAGTACTAATTCGGTCTTATAACATACAAAAACATGCATGCACGTTGTAAAAAGGGTGTATCGAAAAATATTTATCTAATTGTGAATCAAATCAGTAATTAAAGTGCCTCAGAATTGCCTTTAATGGTGTAATAATACATCCTCCGGCAGGATGTGTTGCAATTGCCATTCCTATGCACCAAAATAATCCATCGTTATGGCGTACGTAAATGCACATTCCAGAATCTCCTTGTTGGAATTTAATCTTCTGCATTGCTATCTGATTACGAAAATAAACGCTTTGTGGACGGTCAGAATGTCTCTTTGATACAATATCGAGAGCTTGGACAGCGAAATGGATATTGTCTTGCACATTTGCTGGGTTAATATCTCGATAAACATTAGCAACAGCTTGATATAATGTCTCAAACTCCACATGTTTTCCTTCAATTATTTCAGCTTTATCTTTAATATGTTGGTCCAACGAAACTGCTCCGAACGTTCGTACTTCGAAATTTGTATGTACACCTACCTCCTGCCAGTCAAGGCAACATTTCTGTAAATAGTTTGACTTAAGTTCTGCAAAAAACAATATAAACTCAGTATGAAATGTTTAACCTGAAATAGGATTTCCATACAGACCATCTGATCATTGATGATAGCATCCGTCGAGTAATCAATGTCCGTTTGAATATGCTTTATGTATTTATAAAAATAAAAACATTATATAAAAATAAGAAAATGTGGTATAATTGCGAATAAAAAAACACTCCACTAGAGATCAAATTACATAGAAGATAAGAATTATAGATCACCGTACGGCCTTCAAACCCATATGAATAGTTAGATATAAATGGCCCCGAAATGACAAATGTAAAACAGTTCATATATAATGCAAAAAACGACAACCACTGAAGCTCCTGACTTGGAACAGACACTTACCGAATGTGGCGAGGTATAAAATGTTTGATGGCGCCAAACCAACCCCCTAACTTGTTTTTGTTAGATGTATTTCTTTTTGTATTCATCTGATGAGTTAAGCCTTTTTTAACTGATTTTATAGTTCGTTCTTATGTTGTACTGTTACACCCCTGTCCCTGGTTAGGGGGAGAGTTGGGATCCCGCTTACATGTTTAACTCCGCCACATTCTATATGTATGTGCCTGTCTCAAGTTAGGAGCCTATAATCAAGTGGTTGTCGTTTGTTGCTGTGTTACATATTAGTTTTTTTTCTTCATTTTTTTGTACATAAATTAGGCCGTTAGTTTTCTCGTTTGAATTGTTTTACATTTTTCATTTCGGGGCCTTTTACAGCTGACTATGCAGTAAGGGCTCTGCAATTTGTTGAAGGCCGAACGGTGACCTATAGTTGTTAATTTCTGTGCCATTTGGTTGTCACATTGGTAATCACACCACATCTTCATTTTTATACTTAAACTGAGATGTGTTAATTATATGATTGTTTACTATATGACTATATGATAAGCATTGATATAAGACTGCAAACTATAAAAAATGTATGATAATACAAATGTAATACGGTGAAGATCCCCTTGGGTAATTCAACCCTTTTGTGGTAGGGATGAGCAGCTGAAAAACCCTTTTCATATATTTTGAAAAAAGAGCATACTTTATAAACAAAGAAATACACCTTAACCTATCAAAATTGGTTGTTCTTAACAGGAAGATAAATGGATTTGACACACATCTGTTACATTTGTGTTTAAAAAGCTGTAGATAATGCCTACAGGTATATGTATATTGTTGGTTCTCCTATATGACTGCTGTTCTCATACTAAATATGATTGCTAACGAACGTTTTACCAGAACAGGGAATCTACCCCTAGATTTTAAATTGTATTTTACTAACCTCGTTTTTCTGCATCATCAATGTGAATTTTAGCATGGTTCTGATCAATTTTTATAATGGCTGCGTCAATGCTTATTCCATTAATCTCATTTGGGGGGAAGGTAAAACTGGCTAAATGTCCACAAGGAATAACTCCACTCAAACCATTTGCATCTTTGCAATATATTTTTACTGGATTTTCATGAAGTTCAGATCCAAATGTATGCGATATCAGAAAATCCGGAGAAAGTATCACATGTGCGCATGTTAAGAATGCATCTTCGCCATGGAATTTAAGAAACCCACCTATTGTTCCTGCTTTCCCTTTAAACGGTCTGTTTACGTCAATATCTATATCCATTTCTTCATCTTCACTATTAGGTATTGCTGCTACATTTTGTCTATTAGCAGACTTGTTTTGTTCTTCTGTGGGAACAAAAAATTCGGTACCTATTCTTATCTGTTTAGCCTGTAGTCTTGGATATCCTTCAAAAATATCCGTTTGAACAGAAGCTATATTGTAAGGAAAATGTGCTTCCCCAATCGGTATTATTCCTTTTGCTCTGCAGAAGAATTGGATACAAGTGACTCTTTTAAATCTTTGATTTTCTTCGCCAAATCCTTTTGATTTCAAATGAGATTTAGAAATCATAGTCAATTTACTATGCTTTGCAAAGTACTTTGTGGCATTTTCTGCCGATACATTTTGGCAACTCTCATAAGATCTCGCTGCATCGATTGTACTATCAATTTTTTCCATTACAGACATCGCTTCCTTAAAACGTCCGTTTACTTCTTTATACACAATAGGGATACCATTAAATGCTTCACTTTTAGGTGATAACTTCTCCATTTTGTGAACTTCAGCAACTATAACTGCATTACACGAGCAAAAAAAAATGTCATCTGACGTATTTTGTGTACTACAGCTACATTTAAAACCTGGCCAAATATCATAGTACTGTATGATTGAGACTGTCATTGCATACCGCTTGCAAATTTCCCATGCAATAGCTTTTGCACATTTTGGTTTTCCATTTTCCATTGCTAGACGCAATACTTTCTGTAAGGTATACGTATCATCGAAAAGATTCTTAAAATTAGCTAAGATATAACGACACACCATACTTTCATCTAATAGGATACTGTTTTCGAACTCTGTGTTCATGTCTGTTTGTTTTGATCCTTCTTTATGAAATGAGAGTAGTTTTTGAAAGGCTTTCGTAGCTTTGAGTTGTGGCTTATCTACAAATAAGACTCATACACTTTAAAGAATACTAGATGAGAACCGTATTATAATTTTAAATGAAATGCTCTACAAAGCGCAGTTTGATACGACAGCAGAGGTCGAACTCCGGAAGGTGGTTGCAAGTATGGACAAAATATTTAAGCTCTGAAATTGGGATTGTGATTAAATATTTTACACAGTATGATTGTGGTCTAACTTGGAAATTGGAAATTAACCTGTTATGTTCCAAATCTAAATACATGGTTAGATTCAGCATGCACACAATCCCAAATAATTCAATTTTGTTATGAAACAAACTTTAGTTTGTGACCCTTTGGACCTCAATGTACACCAGTTTGATAACGGACCCCAAAATCCAAATTCCTAAAACACAGTTAGAGACAGCCTTTCAAAGAATCCCTTATATTCAATTTTATTTTTTTAATTCAAACAAAGTTCAATTTCGAACCCTGATTTACACCAACCGGAAAAAACTTGGCCCAATATCAAAAAACTAAATAGAAGTTTAGATTCAGCATAGCAAAGAACCCCAAGAATTGAATTTTGTTCAAATAAACAAAAGTTGAATCTTGGATTCTTAAGACCTTAATGAGGATCAATTCGAAAACTGAGCCCAAATTAAAAATCTAAAATACACAGTTATAGTCAAAGAACGCCAAAAATTGATTTTTTTTGTTAAAATCAAACAAAGTTTAATTTAAATTCCTTTGGACTTCTATTTAGACCAATTTAAAAACGGGTCCCACAATTGAAAATCTAAATACACAGTTAGTTTTTGGCATATCAAAGAATCCCAGTAATTAAATTTTTGATGAAGTCAAGCGAAGTTGAACTTTGTAAAATATTGACCTAAATATGGACCACTTAAATAATAGGGCCAAAAATCCAAAATTTAAATACACGGTTAGATTCAGCATATTAAAGAATTCCAAGAATTTTTAGAATTATAAACACCATTGAAATTGGTCAAGAAAATATCAATTTATACAAAAGTTTTAGATAAAAGTATCAAATTGACCTAAACGGTTAGGGCCATAACCCAAACAATCAATCACAACCTTCCTTTCTTGGTATGGAACCTTGTGGTACAATTTCATAGAGTTACATAGACGTATATTCAAGTTATTGTCCGGAAACTAGATATTTTTTGTTTGTTTGTGGACCCCTAATTCCTAAACTGTTCGGGCCATAATCACAGAGTGAATTCCAAACTTTGTTTTGTTATATTGGACCTTGCAATACAATTTCATAGAGATCCATACACTTATACTTAAGTTATTGTTTAGAAACAAAATGTCTTCAGACGAGGCCAACGACGATGACGTGGACGACGACACCGTTATACCAAAATACGTCTGCAAAGTATACTTTGCGGTAGTATAAAAAGGGATTAAGCTTCATGTCAACAATAAAATTCTAGTATTTAATCATTCCGTTCACCAACAAAAGTTGTCCTCTAGTTCACAATATCTAGGAAGCAGATCAAACCATGTAACTGACATTGACCAATAAACCATGAAACTGAGTTCAAAGATAGACGAAATCTGTGAGACACACATGAACATCTTACATTCAATACATACACAAAATATTTTTGAACCATTGCATATAGTATCTGAGATAATGACTTGATAACGGAAACTTAACCTTGACTACTTATCATTTAAATGAGGTCATAGTCAGTGAATCCTGTTAAAAGATCATGTAGAAATTACAAGGATCCCGAATAGTTATCCTATCACTCATTAGTGAGAAATACACTAAAGTAGTTTTTCTAAACAGTCGCTGTAACGTGAAAAAGAGGACCATGAACATATGACAGAAGAAACTTCCCAACATGAGGCGCTAACACACAAGGTATGCACCATTCAAGTTCTTTACTTTCTGAAATTCAAAGTTTTATTCAAATAGTAGACAGTGTGGGCGTCACCGCCGTCGAATTAGCATCCAATGCATTTGCATTCGGTAGTTTCGGTCGACGCGAGACAAATCAGGCTCAACTGAGGTACCCCGAAAGAGATGGTAATGTATGCGCCTCTATAGGCATTCCTCATTAATAACGATTACTACATGAATACCGAATAAGAAAACACTGACAATAACAGACAATATGCGCAAAGTGTTGTTGAGTGTGCAATCTTAAACTTTATTTATTTCCAAATTGCCTGTTGATTTTTGCTAAATTGTGCTTTGAATATATGCCATTTTGTGTTTCTTTGATACATATGGCGTGGCTCTGTACTTATACATCCCGTCATTATGTTATTGTGCTATTGTAAATTTTTGTATTCTTGTCTTTCATTTTTGCTAATGTGCTTTGTTTATATGCCTTTTCGTGCTTCTTTGTTACATATTTGTTTGTTTTATAGTGATTAAGATTAGAATACAATGTTGACTGCTGTACCCTTATTTTTGTCATTTTTACCTATTATGTCTGTTTGTTTTGTTCACACATCGTTATCAATATAATGGAATTTGATGCGACTGTCATACAAGTGAGAGGTTTAGCTAGCTATAAAACCAGGTTTAATCCACCATTTTCTACATATGAAAATGCCTGTACCAAGTCAGAAATATGACAGTTTTTATCCATTCGTTTGATGTGTTTGAGCTTTTGATTTTGCCATTTGATTTCGGACTTTCCGTTTTGATTTTTCCTCGGAGTTCAGTATTTTTGTGATTTTACTTTTTTGATTTAGAACGAAACACATGATAGCTTTACATATACATATACAACTTTTAGTGATAAATATTAAGTATTTAGGAAATTTAAATATCAGTTTGCCTAAGAATACCTTTTGCTGCATTTTTGTAAAATCTCTTGGAACTAGGAAGATCACGGGGTACATCACAATCTATCACATGACCATCACATTCGATTACAGCTGTCAACAAAACCCCTTAAATTAAAATAAAAAAACATTTCAAATATTGATAAAATGTCCATAACAAATGCATATGCTGATTCATAACACTTGTTAAAATGAAATAAAACGTTTTGTCAAATGTTCTAATTTTTCCTTTGCGCCATCGGAATCATTAATTTGATATATATAATAAAAACATTAACGATATAGTATGGAACGCCGTGACTGTCTTATAGTGTAAACATCCAATGTGTGTTTAGTCGCTTTGTTTTTACGTCCTGTCATTTCTTCTTCATGTTATGTGTAAGTACCTTTATTTCCTGACACTGCATCTCTGTATAATGTCAAATTAATTATTTGTTTTGTCAAACAATTGTATTATATATCGTTGCTATTATTTGTTATGTGCAATAGGCATTACATTATGTTGTAACTACTGTATATTCTATGAATACCTCTAAACTTTATGATCAATCATCTTTCACCTTTCACATTTCCTCTATGTTGTGTCTATTCTTCCTTTAAGTTAGTCAGTTAATAATTTCGTCATGTCTCAAATGTGATTGTTATGTTGAATGTTCTTAACGTTTTGTTTTGATGCATCTTTGTTCTATGAAAACCTCATGATATAATATTTCAATGGCTTTATGTTGTGTTTATATATATATATCTTCTGTGAAAAATAAAATACATCATGGTATAGCTTATTTGTGTTTTGCCAAACCATTGACATTTTATGTTAACATTCAAGATATCATGTGAATCTACTAGTACGTTATGTACAAACATGTATTACATTATATGCAAACACCTAATACGTTATGAGCAAATGCCTTTTACATTATGTGCCAACACATATTACGTTATGAGCAAATACCTATTACATTATAGGCAAACACCTAATACGTTATGAGAAAATGCCTTTTACATTATGTGCCAACACATATTACGTTATGAGCAAAAACCTATTCCATTATGTGCAAACACCTAATACGTTATGAGCAAATGCCTTTTACATTATGTGCCAACACATATTACGTTATGAGCAAATACCTATTACATTATGTGCAAACACCTAATACGTTATGAGAAAATGCCTTTTACATTATGTGCCAACACATATTACGTTATGAGCAAATACCTATTACATTATGTGCAAACACCTAATACGTTATGAGCAAATGCCTTTTACATTATGTGCCAACACATATTACGTTATGAGCAAATACCTATTAGATTATGTGCAAACACCTATTACGTTATGTGCAAACACCTTTTACATTATGTGCAAACACCTACTACATTATGTGCAAACACTTATTACGTTATGTGCAAACACCTATTACATTATGTGCAAACACTTATTACGTTACGTGCAAACACCTATTACGTTAGACATGTTAGAGGCAAACACCTGTTACGTTATGTGCAAACACCTATTATGTTATGATAAACGCCTTTATAACACAGATTAAAACAAAACGCATCAATGATGTATACGTTAAAGGAAATCAAAAGAATGTAATATTATTAAAATCAAAATCCATCTGCATTTCTTTATGGAGAATTAAAAATTGGACATTTACCTTTTATGGTCCAATATCCAAAATCTAAATACATGGTTAGATTCAGCAAACAAAGAAACCCAATTCATTGTTTGATGAAATCAAACAAAGTATTATTTTGACCCTTTGGACCTCAATGTGCACCAAACTGATAACGGGGTCCAAAATCAGAAATCCAAATACATTGTTAAATTCAAAATATCATAGAATAGCATAAATTTAGTCTTTGACTAAATCAAACAAAGCTTAATTTTGGACCTTCATTTGGACCGACTTGAAAAATGGGCCCAAAATCAAAAATGTACATATATATTTAGAATCCGCATATCAAAGAATCCCTTGTAATGTTTTTTGTTAAAATCAAACTAAGTTTAATTTTGGACCCTTTTGACCTTAATGTGGACCAATTTAAAAACCAGGCCAAAATCAAAAATCTTAACCCACAGTTAGACTCAGCATATCAACGAACCCCAAGATTTAATTTTTTGATGAAATCAAACAAAGTTAAAGTTTGTACTACTTGGACCTCAATGTGGACCAATACTTTTATTTCTGAATGGTTTGGCCAGTAACTCCTAAAATCAATCCACACTTTTCTTTTGAAGTAAAGAACCTTGTTGTACAATTTCATAGAGATCCATACAATTATACACAAGTTTTGTCCTGAAACATGTAAAATGGTTGCTGTTGGTGAATTTTGGTCCCTGATTCCTAAACAGTTGAAACAATAACCCCGAAAATCAATCCCAACCTGACTTTTGTAGTAGGGAACCTAGTGGTACAATTTCATAGAGATCCATGCATTTATTCTGGAAACCAAATGTCTTTAGACGACGACGACGACGACGACGACGACGACGCTAACAATGTCGGATTAGCATCCATACCTCCTGCATTCGGTAGTTTTGGTCGACGCAAGACACAACTTGCTCAACTGAGGTACCCAGAGAGAGAAGGTAATGTATGCGGCACTTAAGGCATCCGTCATTGATAACTATTACTATACGAATACCGAATAAAACAAACACTGACAACATCCTCAAATTGTTGTTGACCATGCAATCTGATACTTAAGTATTTCCAAAGTACCTGTTGATTCAGAACAAAACATATAATAGTTTATAACAGTACATATACAACTTTTGGTGATAACTATCAAGTATTTATGCAATTCAAATATCACTATGATTAAGTATACCTTTTGCTGCATTTTTGTAAAATCTCTTGGAACTAGGGATATCACGGGGCACATCACAATCTATCACACAACCATCACATTCAATTACAGCTGTCAACAAAACCCCTTAAATTAAAATAAAAACCATTTTAAATATTAATAAAATGTCCATAATAAATGTATATGCTGATTCATAACACTTTTGTTAAAATGAAGTAAACGTTTTGTCAAATGTTCTATTTTTTCCTTTCCACCATAGGAATCATTAGTTTGATAAAAATAATAATAACATTAACGATACAAATTTTTGCTTTAACCTTGAATGTCTCTTCAGTGATGCTCGATGCCAACATAATTAAAAATCTCAGAAATTTAAGAGTTTCTAAACTAATAAAATGCTCCGATGGGCACGGCTTAATACGACCAATGAGTTCGAACAATGAACAGTTTGGACAAGTATGGACACTACATTTAAGATTGGTACAGCTCTGACTTTTGATTATGATTAAATATTTAACACAGCATAGATGTTTGAATGAATATGATAAAAAAAAATGAGGAATGGTCAAATATCCAAAACAAAATGCACGGCTACATTCAAAATGTTCAAGTACACTAGGAATTTAATTTATTGATTTTTAAATTGACAATGTTAGCGTAGTTTTTAAAGGGTGATCGCTTCATAAAAAAATAAAAAGAAAAACACCTTCCACGAAGTTCTGCCAAATATTCAGACGGGAAAAAAAATTAAAAAACAGTTTCATCATTAATACAATGTCTAAACAAATCTATGAAACTTACCTTTTATTTTAAATCTTTCAAAATATCTAATAATGAACAGTAAATTTTAGACTATATTTATACATAATTTCCAAAATTAGAATTTGATGCTATATATATATATATATATCTAATTATATCTAATTATAAATCTACTAGCAATTTCTATTGAATTTGGATTGTGATTAAATATTCAGTATAGCATGCATCTCTGACAAACAAAGAATGTGGTGTAAAAACTTAAAAAATTGAAATTGGACATCTACCTATTATCATGATTATGATCCAATATCTAAAATCCAAATAATGGTTAAATTCAGCATACAAGGAATTGATTTATAGATAAAATCAAACAAAGTTTTATTTTAAACCCTTTGGACTCCAACATGCACCAAATTTGATAACGGGGCCCAACATCCAAATTACAAATACATGGTTAGATTCAGCATATCAAAGAACCCGATAATTTTAATTTTTGTTTAAATCAAACAAAGCTTAATAATGGGACCTGGATTTGGCCCAACTTGTTACTGAACCAAAAATAAAAAAGTAAAAAGATGTTTAGATGCAGCATATCAAGGAACCCCTGAAAATCATTTTTTGTTAAAATCAAACTAAGTGTAAGTTTGGACACTTTAGACCTTTGTGTGGACCAATTAAAAACAAATCAGTCCAAAATTCAAAATCTAAATACACGGTTAGAAGTTTAATTTTGTAACCTTTTGACCTCAATATAGACTTATATAAACAAAGGGCCCAAATACCAAAATCTAAGTGGTCGTTTAGATTCAGCATATCAAATAATCCAAACAATCAAGATTTTGAATTTAACCCCTTCGAAATTGGTAAAAAATAAGCAATTTATACAAAGTAATAGAAAAGTTATTTTGACACCTTTTTCCAAAACGGTCAAGGCATATTTCTCTTTTTCCTTCTCGTCAAACGAATCGAGACCACTGGACACAATTTCTTTATCTTCATTTATGTCGCCGTCTGCCGGAAAATATGCAGACGTTAACAAACTAGACGGCTTTAAACTTCTTACTTTCGCTTGAGAAACTAATGGAGAAAACAGCCCAGAACCATGCAGATCTTCTTCCGACGAAGAATCTGGAAAACAAGAGTTACCAGTAGTGTACAAAGTATAATAATTAATTTGCTTTACATTTGTTGTATCGAATGGCATTATAACAGCTTCATAAAGGTTGAGAGAAAGAACCTTCATTTCTTCTATCAACATCCAACTGTATAGATATCAGCATGTATCTAAGGTCGGGTTGTTGTCTCTTTGACACATTCCCCATTTCCATTCTCAATTTTACAACACAATGCATACAGTATTAACAAACATAGATGCAAACCAAACCATAAATAAAACATGTTTAACCAACCAGTAAACTAATTCAAATGATAAGGGAATATAACATTTACCTGAAGTAGACAAATTTTGTATATCAACCAATCAAAGGAGATTTAACAGGTACAAACAGGTAAGGAGTAAAGTCGAAAGTATCCGATATTGAATTAGGAATTTTCAGTTAATTAAAGATTTAACAATATAACTCCTTCAAAATTGGTCAAGAAATAAGCGATTGATACAAAATAATAGAACAGTTGTTTTTTTGTGTCTTTTTCCTAAACTGCTAAATCAGTAACCCCCAAAAATCAATCCCGACCTTTCTTTTTCAATGGATGTTTATAACATTGTACCATAAGTATTCATACCATGAAAGAAAGGTCAGGATTGATTTAGGGGGTTATTGCCTTGACAGTTTGGGAAAAACGAACAAAAAACAACTTTTCAAATTGCTTTGTATAAATTGCGTATTTCTGGACCAATTTCGAAAGAGTTAAATTGATAAATCTTTAATTAATTACAAATTCCTAATGCAATCTCCTATTACTCCTTACCTGTGAGTAAGGCTATTGCTCTTATTCCAAAACTTTTATTGTTTCTATCGGTAAAAATAAAAAAGGTTCGATCAAGCCATAGTTAATAATGCCACTGAATGTTTGGAATTTTAAATTTCCGCTCAAACCTTTCTGATAAATGATGATTAGCAGTACAATTGCAGTTCCATTGTTGTCTGGTTTTTGACATGTATATTTCTATCCATCTAAAAACAGTTCAAAAATTCACACAAAATACAACCAAATTAGCTAGATTGAGAAGTAGAATAACGCCTAATAATGGAAGAAACAGCGTCGATGATGTTTCGGAAAGAATTGTCAGCTTGAAGCTCCACGTGTAGGGCAGAAACCGCTCACTCTTCTGGGGCACCACATACCCTCCCTGGTTTTATTTGGGGTCCGTGTTGCTCAGTTATGTTTTCTATGTTGTGTTTTCTATACTGTTAATTGTCTTTTGGTCCTTTTCATTTTGTACCAAGGCGTTCTCAGTTTATTTTCGACTTGTGATTTTAAATGTCCCTTTGGTATCTTTCGCTTCTTTTTTTCCAATATTTACTATTTGCAGTCGGCATGTTTCTATTGAAATTAAATATCAATTGATAAAAATAACACAAAACTATTCATTACAATATAAATATCGCATAATAAAACACTAGTAGTTGATGTTACAAAAAAGCTGTAGTTGTTATGAAATGATATCGTTTAATGCCATATTAATACGAATCCGAATAGCTTAAATATATCACACAAATGCTAGTTTGTACGAGAAACACGGTGCAGTCCATTTGCCATGGTGTATTCCAAAAATTAATACTAAGATGTATAACAATACAATTGCAATTCAAAGTTAAATTTGGTGATTTATCTATTAAACGTTGTTTGATAATAAAAAAAAAATTATTTACCAGTTGTACCAATTATCAGAAATCGATATAAGTGCACTTGTTGCTGCTGTTTTTTATAAATTGTTTATATCATTCAGATCACATGTCAAATCAAGATCTATCGCTTGATCGTCACTTTCAATTGCTGCTGTAAAAAAGCTTGTTATATTTGTTAGATATTTAAATGCAATTATTGTTCTTATTAGTAGATTGTAATACATTACGTTCCAGAACAGATTAAACAGCATATTTTTATGGGGTATGGTTTTATATTATAGTTTATAGCTTTTTGAAAATAGAAACCAAAAAAATGTACAAATAGCCAAAAATGTGAGGTTTCCATTCTTGAGCGCGGTTTGCCATGTACATTTCTTTTCTTGTTTTTTTTTGTTTTTGTTTTCATTATAGTAAATAAAGCCTGTATTTTGTCGCGTTCTATTACTGCAATAAATAATCACTGGGAGGACCAAAGCTGCTTATATAGTTTTGTTTTTTTTTCATCAAGCAGCGTTTGAAGATATTTTAGTTTGATATATTAATGTTAAATCTTTTTTAATTCCTTTTTGTATGTAGCATCGGTTTTAGCATTCAAATATTGTTTATTCAAACAATAAACAATATTCCTAACACCATAACATGCATCGTATTATATATAGAATAGAGAAAAGAAACGAGGAATGTGCCAAAGAAACTACAACAGTTTTTTTCTACCTTTGATCGTTTAATTTCATCAGGAAGTATACACAAGTTTAAATGAAAATATTTGAAAATAGGTAATCATACCATTCAATATCTTCTGGTGGTCCAGATTTGATATCTTTCTACTAGGCGGACCAATCAGAATTTGAGGTGAAGGCGATGAAATTGATAAATCAAGTAATTCTTTGTATGGGAACACCGTTTGACTATCTTTAACTTTTCCTTCATGTTGAAAACTTGTCAACCGCTCTAAAGATGGAACTGTAGCAGATAATGCCGGTTGTTTGTCAACTCCTTTAAAATATAAATAAGGGTTTCAGATACAAATTATGTATTGATATGGATAATTATCGAAAACATAACAGAACTTTTTAAAGCATAAGTATTTCAGACGGACTTCAAATATACTCAACAACACAAATAACGTAGCATTTCTTGCCATATAAATGCAGTTAGGTAATTTCATGTTTTTGCCAAAATCAATTGTAAAATTCTAGTATATTTTAAACATAACTTGACATTAACCAACGAGTCTCTAAAGAAATATACATTTTCGTGGCGACTATCTGGTTTTTATCCAAGTACCAAAAAGTCTGAGATGAGTCATAAAAAAAATTAACATCAAAAAGAAAAATCACAAAAAAAACATTACACGAAGAACTCATAGCCTCATTTATCTGGTTACTTGAACAAAGTCAAAGTCAAAGGGCGGTACACAATATATAGGCCAAACAGGGCGGGATTTTGTTATACAAACAAGGGAATCTATAGCGCTTCCTATGACCTATTCAAAAGTGATATTCAAAAGTAATTCACTAACGTTTATGAAAGTGCAATCACAATATCAAATTTCCAACCACTCGAAACGATCCAGAAACAACAAGGCAATGCGCATAAACAATTTGATAATTCCGTAAAAAAATATCGAACTGTCTGGGATGAAACGACAGCAGACAACATATACCCTTGGTCTAGATGACAACATAATGGGACAAGGGAAAATATCTAAAACTTCTTCTATGTATATCATGAATATTGTTAATAAAAGACAACGTAAGAATAGGTCTAGCGGCAATCTAAATCAACGAATTAAATATCGACGGTCTCCTATCTATATATAAAAACAACGGTAGGCATCAATATTTATGTAAACTGGGTCAAATACCAATTAGTAAATTTCAAGATATATTCAATGAGTGTGACACAATATGTTGTTTAGCCCCATCTATGAATATACGGGTATAATTACAGTTTTTCGTCACCATAGGCTGTTTACGCGTTTCGATAAACCTGACGATCATCAATGGTAATGTCTGTAGAAATTAAATATGTTAACAGAGGTATTGATTTTATCAACTTATAATTATCAAGCATATTTAATGGTCTTCCATTCAAAACTGTATACTATCATATTTTGAAAACACAGAACCACCTATTATTTCGTCCACACCATAACCCTAGCAGAAGTTTATTTTTAATAATACGTCAGTAACAGCAGACGTGAGTTTTAAAATATAATTCTCTTCTAACTTGAGACTGTGAATCGTAGAATTTTAGAGGTGATCCATATGACCATGTTATTAAGTGGGACCTCAATTTCGTTCAAGACCAAGACGTTAAACATATTTGAACCAGAGGCTCTAAAGAGCATGTGTCGCTCACCTGCATCTTCAACGATTGTCACTTTTTTGTAAAAATCGCCATTAAAGGGGAATAACAGTATTAAGTGTTAACTGACAATTTCAGCCATATCAAAGTTTTTGTAGATTTTATGCTACTGATCATTTTTCTTTTTTTTTAAAGTTTCTATTTGTCTATTTTAGTTTTCAAGATAATAGGCAAAAAATGCCACAAAGTTGGTAGAAATTATTATTAAAGGGCAATCACTTCAATGAGGATCCAACTGAGGATGTCGACCATGAGACTTATTTTTATATCTTGTCTTGCTGGTCATTTTTGCATTTTACAGGTTGCATTTCTGTAAATATTGACAATGCAATTTCCCATAGAAACTCCTTTTACGGCTAAAACTGTACCACTTTTACTATGAAGTTTTGAAAAAAAATCATATACTAGAATGGAAAGTTCATATGCACTACAATTTTTTTCAAAGGTAAAAATATAGGGCTGTGCGGCATATTTTCAACGTTTATATGCCCCAAACTTCTAAGAGTTTAAACTAACACTAAATTTCTGAACTATCTCTACCTTGACTGTAGGATTACCACAGATTTCAATATAAACAATATGCATATGTATATTTACTGGTAACATTCCCAAGTTATGTCTCTATGAGATGAAACATAGAGATCATAACTGTGAACCAGTATGTAAACAAAATTAATAATATATGAATATTCTATATCTCCCCAAAAGAGGCGTGGTTTGAGAAACAGCTGTATTTACAGAGTGCAACCTACAGTTTCTATCTGTCTATTAAAGTTTTCAAGATAATAGGCAAAACATTAAAATTTTGAAAATAGTCACAAAAGGGCAACAACTTCAATTAGGAGTCGACTAACGACTTCGGTCGTCTGACTTATTTGTAGATCTTGTCTTGAAGAGCATTTTTGCATTCAAAATTTTTATCCATCTCCTATAATAATATAATAAGCAAAACCATCATTAATGGGCAGTAAGTTCAATAAGGTGTTGACCAACAATTTCAATCATGTTTGTACATCTTGTTTTGCAAATCACTGTTGTTATTTAAAGTTTTTTTCTATCAAATACAATTTTTGAGATAATGAGCAAAATTTTTTAAAATTTGGTAAAACTCCTTTTTTTAGGGACAAAGCTCCTGTAAGAAGTCGTTAGACAGTTTTCGTTTCAAAAGACATTATGTAGATTTCATCATTCAAACATTTTTGCTGAGGCATATTTTCTCTATCTGTAACGGTTTTCAAGATAATTGCCAAACATAGCATTTTACTCCTTTTTTCTATTTTTAGCCTTGTTGGTAATGTCGGTCAGCATGCGGGTACATCGGACAAATTTTTGTATACAAGATATCTCAGTGATGATTGTGGTCAAGTTTGGTTCCGTTTGGCCTATTAGTTTCAGGTGAAAAGATTTGTTGTACAAGTTAACGGACCCGACGGACGACGCCGACGAGAACGGATAAGACGGACCATGGATGATGGACGACGGATGCCAAGTGAAGAGAAAGGCTCACTTGGCCCTTTTGGCTCTTCATGGTACTGTAAAAATTGGTGGTAACGGGACAAATCTGATAACAAATCCATTGATTCTAATTTATATAAATGTATGAATGTTGGGGATAATGTTTTACATTTGGCATATTTATGATATCGGGGCCTTCTTAGTTGACTATGCGATATTGAATTTGCTAATTGCGGAAGGCCGTACGATGACCTATAGCTGTTAATCTCTATGTCTGTTGGTCTCTGGTGCAGAGTGTCTCATTGGAAATCATACCACATCATCTTATTTTTTTTATTTTTACATGTAGGTCCTTGTTTCAATAGAATAGTTTTATTCCTTTAGAGGGATTTTTTCAAGGCAATACACATGATTTTTGTTAATTAAATAAAAAAATGCTTATTTACCTGCAAAATATAAACTTGTGGTCAGGCATAAATGAAAATTGATTTCGATCCTCCAGCTTATCCAAAATAATTTGCTGAACCGAATTATTGTATTGAAATAGAATCCTAAGAGCCTGACTCATTTAACGAATAAATTCAGTTTGATTCAGTAACGGTTGGCTTATTTGTACATAATGTGTAGCTTACCATTTTTTTTTTTATATGATGGCTTGGAAAAGTCACCAAAAGTTAGTATTAGTGAAATATATCTTGCACGGACTCAGATGATAATGTTTTGACATCTTGATTTACATGTAAATATTATCCATTTTACTGTTAACTGTTTTTTTCTGTCTATTGTAGCTGTGGTATAAAGTTGATATGTAAGGAGAAAAATATGACCAGACTTTAATATTTGTGAAAGTTTACTTGGAACAGGATGTATGACTGCGCCGACCGGTTATAGGACAATGTCATGTTAGCTTAAAGAGAAGACATGGTTCAAGGACTGTTTTTATGACTGCCAGAAAAGTTAACTGTATGGCAGGTCTTATAATTAAGTTAACTCTGAACGAAGTAAATTATGCAAAAACCGGTCATACACATTCAATCAATGGCAATTGTTTTCGGTAATAAAACTATACTTAGTACTCGGAGTACAAAATTTGTGCTCGAAACACAAAATACAGTAATCTTAATGGTTGAATTTTGAGTCTGAGTACATGGAGTACGATAATCGTACTCAAGATTTTTATGACTGCAAGGCCAGGTTTACTATCAAGAGTAGTCATTGATATCAGCTGCTCTACTAGAACCAGACCTGATCTAATAAAAGTTAAATTTGGTCTGGTAAGCTCCAAGATGTAGTTAACATGATCCAAAGTTAACAGGACCGCTTTGATTGATGAATTTGAACTGAGTATCGATTACCGATTAAGGAATATATAGCACCGTTTCAAAAGCAGACATGTCTCCATGACAGAATGTAATGGTCTGTCAAATAGCAGACTTATCCAAAAGACAGAACAACAGCAAACCTGTTCATTTGGTCTGTTCTGGTCATGCTGACCTGTCCATAGGTCTGGTTTGGTCTAGTTAGGCTGACCTGTCCTCAGCATGTCAGGTTTGGTCTGGTCAAGTTCAATTTTCCTGAGGACAGGTCTGTACTCAGGTTGGTATGCAGCAATCCTAAAAAAACAGATCTAGGTCTGGTCTGATAAGGACACTTTTCACTTGCAGGTCTACTTGAACTTTCTGAAGTTAACTGAGAGAACAGTCATAAGGACTCTGAGTTCACTTCTGTACAGGTTCTGACGGCATCTATCCGTAAGGAGACGATTGACAATCGTTTTATTTATTTTTTTTATAGATCTTATCTTGCTCCACTTTCATATTTTGACAGTTTTTTTCTATAATGACTTTCCGCAAATTCGCTTTCCTTCAAATAAGATATGTTTAGTCTATGTTCAGACTGTTTGGTAGTTAATAATAAACTGTACATATCAACAGCATACTAAATTGTCTGAAAAGCTTCTGAACAGTACTGAATTTACTTCAAGCTAAATACCTGAACAGTACCGAATTTATCTCAATTCTTAAAATCGACTGAAAGATTGAATATGACTGAATAAATTATTGTTCGAGCTGTTCAGATGATGCTAAGATCAAAATGACCGTCTTGGAATAAAATTCATTTGCTAGTGAAAAGCTTCAAAGTTTTGTTCTTACCTTTTATGTACGATTGTTGGTATCGGGTATGGTTTACATATTTAGTTTTAAGCTCTTCACACTCCATAATCATTTCTGGGCCCCCTAGTCTTCCTATAGCCTGCGAAGTCAATTAATATACAGACTATAAACATATATTACTAGCATTGAACCGTTTATACATATTGAATATGCAACACTACAAAATAAGAGAGAACAACAAATAATGTACTTCAAAAAAATGAAGGCTTGTTCTGTTATTTGAAGGAAATCAAAAGTCAACGACTTCTGAAACAGAGGTCAAATTTATGAAAAACATTAACGATATTCATCGTCTGTTTTTACTTAATTCATATAAATCAAAGGTTGCTGTCTTCCCATATTATACCAGTGTGAAAAGGCCCTAACAAGACAAAACGTAAACAAAAAGAAAAACATCGGCCTGAGGGATGATAAAACAATAAACAAATGAAAATGAGAGACACAAACAAACGATTTGATACTGAAATTTCCAAATCTAGAAAAAAGGACAATTATTGCTGTTTTTATTGTATTCAATTTGAGTTAATTTCGCATTATGATAAGAGCATAACTGATAAGCAAAATATCATCTGAGTTAGGCCATCAGCTGTGATTCATGACAATACATATGGAATAATAGATGTCAAAATCCGTATCGCATGCTGTATCACCACGAGGAACCAATATCAGTCTCGAGGGACGAAAGTCCCGAGGGCTTTATAAGTCGAGTGGTGATACAGCATCAAATACAGATTTTGACATGAATTGATCTGTTTATCATATATTTTAATAGAATAAGGTTCATGATCATATCAAAGGTGAAACCTATTTGATTCTAGAGTGGGGTTGGCAAGTTTTGGAAATAGATATTCTTGCCCCCATTTAGGTAACAACAAATAATCTTGCCTTATCACACTTGAAAATAAATATTCCTCTCCCAAATAATCATTTACAAAGGTGTCCAATATTTACAGAAGATCCAGGAAGAAGTATTGTAAGTTGTTGTTTGGAGGGTAACGCAGTGAACGTTCCCCCCAACCCATTTTGACCTGAAAAAAAAATGATTGTGTATGTGAAATCTCTTTAAAAATAAAATTGACTCACTAAGATCGCCAGAAATTTTACTTTTTTTGATAAAACACCCTCTTTCCTTTGGCCATCGTTTGTAAAGGTATTTTATTTTCATATTAATAGAATATGCATTCAAGACTCCATTTTGACTGCTCTAATTTGTTTTTGAAGTTATATGTGTATCCTATAAAAAGGTGATCTGTGTCACAAAAGATAAATAACTTTATGGGGTGAAAAGTTGATTCTGAGGGGTGGCTAGGAGGGTGAAATTTTGTGTCAATTTTTTAAAGAGTAGAAAATAAATATATTCTTGCCCGGGTCTGAATGAACATAAATAATCCGGCCCACTTTATGTGGAAAATAAGTATTTCAATCTCATCAAATTTGCTAGGCCCCCTCAATATCAAATGGTCGTCAAATACTAGACTGCTGCTTAACCCTTTTTCTTGCGCCAATTTAGTGTGGTTACATTTCGTATCATGCCAGGAAATACGGCAACTAGACATTATATGTCCAACTTTGGCGTCATTCGATATAAAACGTTACGCCCTGATGACGTAACATTGGAGACCTATCGAAGTCTCGAAAAAAGATTGACTTATATAATCAGCGGTGTTTTATTTGAAAAAGATACAGCAATGAATAAGTGATTGCATTAATTAAATATATAGACACATGTGTAGCATGAATAGGATTAACATCATTGTCGTCTTCTGAAATTTCAAGCGCATAACCACTGAGGAGTTCCGGAAACAATCTAGAGATGTTCCAAAAGGTGTGCGATACGGGTCTAGCTATGCGATACAGGGTATCCGATACGGGATATGCAATACAGGGTAGATGATACAGACTGGAGAAAAGAACCTTTAAATATTTCTGTAGTTAGTATACAATTATAGCATTTGTATGATATGATACAAGGATTTATCCCCAGCTTAGTATATTTCTAGGATTTTGATTGGTTAACGCACGTCGTTACAAAACCCATAGCCCCGGGTTGTTGCTAACCAATATACCCGGACGTTGCTAACCATTGAACCGGGGAACTTCACGCGCGTTTTCCTTAGTTCCATGGTTGTTCCTTGTGTTATCTTGAATTCTGTAGATTATCCATGATGTCTGTAATTAAATATTTAATCCACTAATGATTTTATCCTATTATGCCGATCTGCACTCATTTTAGTAAATGCATCACTTGGCTGCCACATTGTCAATGAATGGGACTACTGACCTAGCTATGTAAATGACCCACGTTGACGTCACACCGTCTATGATGTAACTCCTACAACATTGAGAGCCAAATTTGACTCATTCCAGTTTCTCTGTCTTGGATTAAAAAAGTCTTATATTTGACTACCTGTAGGGTACTACCTCTCTACACCGTTAAAAATATGTCAAATTACCAAATTGCAATAAAACTTTTTATAAATAATGAAAAAAACGTTGCTTTCACGTTACACTTTGCAGTCGAATTTCTCTAAAAATCGACAGGTTTGGACTAAGACCGGGGATAAATTCGTTATCTACGTTCATATCCGTAGATATGGATATTTTAACACCGTTCAGTACCCTGTATACCATTCGGCTTCGCCTCGGGGTGTACTTGGATACTTCAGGGTGTTAAAATATCCATATCTACGGATATGAACGTAGATAACTTATAATATGACCTGAAAGAAGTATATGGACCGAGGACGAAGTCCGAGGTCGATATACTTCTTTTGGTCGATATATCCTGTATTGACCTCAAACAAAGGCTATAATTGTTATATTTTTAATTTCCAACCATATTTGTATCAAAATCGTCAGTGTAATATATTTGATCATTTAATTTTGTTGGAATTTTATAGATATCATATTGTCTCCTTGACAAAACAACATATTAGTTGTTATTTTATGATTTTTGATTATTTTTGTGCGTATATCTTATGTATTTAAAGATTTTTTTTCCAATAATCGATCATAAATATACACTTTTTAAGAACTTTAAACAATATCAAGAAATTCATTACATGACGTCACAAAGTATATCGGTTTTTAGATATTCTAAAAATAACCGTGCAATATCACTGTTGCTATCCACCGTTTTCTATCTACCTTCGAAATATAGTTTAACATATGACTTTCCCTGAACGAATCAAATTAGATAACATAAACGAATAAATAATATTACTAAATATATGATAAAGGATAATAACAACAATAATATTTGTTAATTGTATTAGGGAACTAGTTAAAAGAAAAACATTACTAATTGTAGAACACTCACTAAAAGCCCGAGTTTAAACGATACTTGAAGGGGTTTTATATATGTTAGATACCCGATGCATAGTAGGGACCTTCAACTGTTCAGAAGGAATGCAACCACTAATATATAGCCCCATTGCTTCTAGATTAAATTCTGCAATTTCAAGCATTCGTAGCAATTTCATGAAATTCATTTCATGTTACAACTAGCCATAGGCCTTATCATTAACTGTGTTGAAAAATTCAACATACATTTATTCGCATATTGAAGCGCACTGGTTTCCAGAAATTTGGTAGAACAAAATCAGGCACTTCTGATTTAAGCAAACAAGGCATATATACCTTCCTATTTTAATTTCATATACTGGCTGTACAGTGCCCTCCATCTTTTCAGATTTAATTTGATACCAACATTACTTAAATATTTTACTTTATTGACAAAGCTGCAGCTATGCGCAGGAAATATGTTCATCTTTCTTGTATATAAAAAAGGAGATGTGGTATGTTTGCCAATGAGACCACTCTCCACAAGAGAACAAATGAAACAGAAACTAACAACTATAGGTCACATTACGGCCTTCAACAATGAGCAAAGCCCATTACACATAGTCAGCTATAAAAGGCCCCGAAATGACAAATGTAAAACAATTTAGACGAAAAAACTAACGGTATAATTTATGTACAAAATAGTGAACGAAAAACAAATATGTAACACAGCAACAAACGACAACCACTGAATCACAGGCTCCTGACTTAGGACACGCACATGCATAATGTGGCGGGGATAAACAAGTTTGTTGGCACCAAACCCTCCCCCATTACCTGGGACAGTTGTGTAACAGCACAACATAATAACTATGAAAACAATACACGAAAACCAAATACAAGTATGAGAAACAGCAAAAAACGACAACCACTCAATTTTCACAGGTTACTGACTTGGGACAGTCACATCTGGGATGTGGCGGGGTTACAATAGTTTGATGGCGCCAACCCTCCCCTAATCTGTATCAGTTGTGTAACAGTATTGTTTCTGACCGCGCCTGAATTAGTAGTCCTTTACCTCTAAAATGGAGGTGATGATGATATAATTGTCTAAAATTTGCATTTACCCCTTGAATGTAGAATGATTTAATGTTCATTCTTAATACATTTCGTGTAGTATTTATGTTACATCACGACGACATTATTGGCTGCTTTGTCTGCACAAAATGAACTCAAAACTTTTTGGAAATACTTGAAGTTTGTTTCTTATCGAAAAATGTTTTTTGATAAATGTTTATATCATTTCCGAAATTTGATACATGAATACTATAAAGTTCTTATTACATTCATTGAAACAAATATCAAATGATTTTTTGCATCTGATTTCTCCGTGAACACATCTTTTACTATAGGTTGAAACAAATAATCTTTATTGTCACATAAACAAAATTAAAAATTGTTGTGACATAAAATTATATATGTTTATTGTATAAATTCAAAATAGAATAAAAATGAATCAATAATGCAGTCAGAAAATATACATATATATATACACGTCTAAACAAGTGACAACTTTATGACAGACATTCTCCATCTGAAAACACGTAGTTATACATGGCTAACACCATATATATATATATATGTATAATTCGTCTCAAACTTAGCACAACAATGTCAGATCTTCAAACGACGCAATTTTTTGTTCTTTCCTCAGTGGGATTCGAACCCTTGTGTCTTTGACATCGTGGCAATACCGCCTACACCGTGTCCAGCGCCCTAGACAATTCGACCAGCTATGCTTCTTAAAAATAACGGTTTCGGTGGTCGATGTAATGCCTTTCCTCGTCAGCTTTATGTAGGGTTGAAACACAGCACATGATGTTTAATTGCAAGTAGATTGTGTACCTTTCAGATCAGCTATTGTTGTTGCTATTAATTATTTAGATATGAGCGTTTTTTAATAAACTACATCAAGACGTGCGCTTCAGACGTAACAAATTGGTAAAGTTTCATATTCAGATTAAGAAAAACATCGAAGAGCTATTATATTTTCGAAAAGGCGCAACGGTATTCCAAATCAATACAAGAAAACGTTTATAAAATTTTCATAAGGATTGTAACTTATTGCATCGCAAAAGTAATTTGACTTTAATTATAATATATACATTTACAATTTATACGGTAAAATACCGAAAATGTTTATCGTTGTTGAAAATGCCTAATTAAACATTTCAAATTTCTCTTCTTTCCTTTTAATGTTTTTTTCTTATTGAACTGTGTCCAAGACCAAGGTAAACTTAATTAGGATTAGCCTAACATATGAGGGTAGATGTAGACAAAAATTCTACGACAGATTTCATAACCGAGAGAAGTTGCAATTTTGGCATTTCAGGAATATAAAAACAAAAGCAATTAGATTATATTTCAATTTATATATAAAGTGTTTATTGCTATTATCTTGATCTTATTAACCCATAAATTTCATTTTAAGCTGGTCAGCTAAATTCTAAAATGACATTCTTACCCCAGTGATATCCCTCCAGACAGTAGTAAAGAATGCAGACTCGATCTCTCTATCTCTAATATCATCTTTAAGGAACATGTTACTGTAGTATTTGATTCTTGCCAAGTCAGCTGCGGGTGTTGTTTCTTCCCTCTTTGGTAATTTGTCATATCCACCTGTTGGTGGGGGTAAGTTTGTCAGCTTCCTGATTAAGGCTACCATTAGTGTGCTATCAAAATTTTTAGAGTTTGCGCGAACTGTAATTATAAATTTCCCACTATCAATCTTTTATGTATTTTCATAAAACAGTTATTGAATTGTGAATTTATTTAAGTACCTCTGTTTTGAAATTTGAGCCGCAGTCATCAAATTAAAGACTTCGAAATAAGGGTAATCTCAATTATGACAGGAATCGTTAAATCAGGATTTGTCAACCAGATATGAAAGTGCCTCGGTAGTCTCGTGGTAGCGTGTCCACCTCGAGTGCGGGAGGTCGTGGGTTCGAACCTCGACCGGGTCAAACCAAAGACTTTAACATTGATATTTGATGCGTTTCCGCTAAGCACGCGGTATTTAGGGGTAAGAGCAAAGACTTGTCGGCTCGAAAACAGAATAATGTATCCGAATAAGATGACATATCTTCCTGCGGACTGTTACCTTGTAAACTAGCACATTATAATCAGGCTCAGCGAGTCGGTATAGTATAAAGCAGGCTTAATATTCATATTACATTAACATTTTATCGTCCTGAACATGCTTGTTAATTTGCCGCTGGACGTTCAGCAGCTATCCATCATCAGCATCATCATCAACATCTGGCAAATATTGCTAAAAACAATTTCACGATGAGGAAATCATATATCCATAATGAATTAACAATTTTGTTTTTTTTTTTTGAGAATCCTGCTTCAAGGTGATCTTTCATATATGTTTGAATTCATATGTATTAGCGGAAAACTTACATATATTATCAGTAGGTTTTAAAACATCACAACCCTTTTTTAGAGCCTCTAACGAACCTAAATCCATCACCTGGTAAATTTACCCCTTAATAGACAATGAAAAGATACCTTATGACAAATTTAGCTACAACCTGATTATGATTTGGAGGCATGAAACTTATAACTAGTTGGTTTCATTTTTTACAGCACTGGGTCGATACCTCTACTGATTGACTATCAGTCCGCGAGGATATCAACAGTTTAGTAGTCAGTACTGACATGATTTATAACAAACCTTCTTAAAATTGTCCGTTTATAAATTTTGAAATTACAAAGAAACTAAGGTTTCGACTCCTTTAGGCAAAGTTGACCTTAGATTGGTTTGGCTAGTTTTTAGGTCCGTTGGTTATGGTATAGAACCACTAATTCAGGCCCGATCGAAAAAAAAACATACAAGAATGTAGTACATATTTTAAACAAAATAGTTCCTACGCATAGCTGTATCTTTGTCAATAGGTGAAATATTTGGGTAGATTTGATATCAAATAAAAGCTTGGGGACTTGGGATCACTGTAGAAACATTGTAGGAAATTTCTCTTGAATAATAAAGAAGTATATTAAATTTTAATAGGAGGGCAAATTTACAGAAGTACCTGTTTTTGTACTATCAAACTTCCGGGAACCAGTACGCTCTAATATTCAATTAAAGGTATGTTAAATTTTTCTGCACAAGTCAGGATAAGGCATAGTTTTGACATGAAATAACGGCCACTATATTTGAACTTACGACAAGGTTACCAATAATGCTTGAAATTGCAGAATTTAACATGGAAAGCAATGGGGCTATGAATTAGTGGTTTTATACCTTATATAGCTCTTCAATTGTTTCGATTATTATACATTCTTGGCTTTCAAACATTCGGTTTTGGGCGTTGCTGGTAAATGTTAATCCAGAAAAGCGCTTCGGACACATGGAATTTATAACTGTTGCTCTCATTTTTTAACCCTTTATACAGTGGTAGCGGTGAAAAAAGCGAAAACAGGGATACAAATGGAAACCAAAAAAAAAATAAACCAGCTTCATTATCAAACTTTTACAATTTTTATCATTTAAATATAATAAAAGTAGTAAAAGTCCTTTTCAATATTCCATACAATATGTATTACAATACAGATGTTGTATGATTGCCAATGAGACAATAGATTAGATATAAGAAGATGTGGTATTAGTGCCAATGAGACAACTCTCCATCCAAGTAACCATTTGTAAAAGTAAACCATTAAGGTCAAAGTACGGTCTTCAACACGGAGCCGTTGTACCTCATATGGATCATGAGTTTTATTTCATTTTGAATACTGTGTTAGGTGTCTTAATACAAAAGATTTAAAGGAAATAATTTTAAAACTGCTTTGCGTTTTTCTCAAATAATTTATTTTGTTAATTTCAAATCATAAATTTAATTCCTATTCTAACTTGCAACATACTTGTGATAAAATAATGTCTGGTTATATGAGGGGTACTTAAGGCACAATGCCGTCTCTTCCAAAAACAAGCAACACGAAAAATCACCCAACAATGACATTAAGACATTTACAATGTTTAACAGTACAAATTAAACTTTGACTTGCTTTTTGTATTTTGACATAGTTGGTTTCATTTGACTGTCAAAAAGAAAAAAGTAAATTCAAGAATTGATACTCTTTAAGTGTATATGTTATGATCTTGTTTCACCAAATAGACTGAAAACAGATAGATATGTCTCAGCTGAAAATAATAAATGTTGCTGTGTGTATATCTAAAAATATAAATATGTTAAGAAAAAAAAAAGTTTATTAACATGATCAGAGGATAAATAAATATAAACATAATTTAAAAATTAATGTAAGTATGAAATATACATAGATAATATTTTGAATAATAATTAAAAGTAAATAAGCTTCAATAAAATCAACAAAAAGACTTGCAACTTTTGATGAAAAAAAAGGTATAAATCTTTGTTAAATAAATCATAAAATATAAGAAGCGTAAATGTTAAGAAGTCTATGTCAAACATCTTCTGAAGTCGATAAGTCATCGGTTCCATAAATCCTTAAAATTGAAATGTGTTTTGCTCTTCTTCATTCCTATTGTTCTCTGTAAATATAAAAGATATATAATTAAAAACCATTTCACACATATACAATTTTAATAAAATTTGGGAAATTTTCTTTTTGGGGGCGGGATGTGGGATGTTATGTATATGTATGGTCGTATGTGTTTTGATGTTAAGTCGTGAGAGTTGTGTCCCTTTGTTTATTGATGCATATTTGTCATGTGATGTTTTCTGTCTCTTTGAAATAAACGTGCTATGGAAATAGATGTGTTTTTGTTGCTCTTAAGCAGATACAACTTTAGCGGCATGGGGAGACAAGTATATGTCCCCCCAAGTACGTAATAGGTTTAGCTAGCTATAAAACCAGAATTAATCCACCATTTTCTACATAAGAAAATGCCTGTACCAAGTCAGGAATATGACAGTTGTTATCCATTCGTTTGATGTGTTTGAGTTTTTGATTTTGCCATTTGATTAGGGACTTTCCTTTTTCAATTTTCCACGAAGTTCAGTATTTTTGTGAATTTACTTTTTTCCACTTTCTAATTAAACGAGTTTTAGCGATGAACTTGATTCCAATGTAGTCCAAGAATGACAAGTTTCACGTTTACATGCTTAAAATGCAAATATATTGATATACAACAAAAATGAATAAAATTTTTGACTGTTTAAAGACACCCGCTACTAGTGAATCAACTCCTATCATTTCTACTTGAAACATTAAAAGGCAAGAAGAGCACACGTAAGACATGTAATATGTTAATCACTTAGGCAGAATTCACTCATAACTTAACAGGGAAAACTTACTATACAAAATCTTTTGGGCGTCTGGACAGTTCATCGGACAATGGCGTTTACGAAATTTGAATGTACTTTGTGTGGGCTACTTTATGTTAGTGAAACTAGACAAATGTGCGTAACAAGACAAAGCAACACCGGGTCTGATTATAGAGATCCACGATTCATGGTTCTTTGTAACCATTTTAATCAATCGGACCATGATCCTTCTTTATTTATGAAAGTACGCATGATCGAGAAAATTTATCACCACACCAATAGCCCTATACTAAGTACTCCTGTCCGAAAAGATAGAGACCATTTCTAGATATTGGGAACTAGGTACTGCAATGCCATATGGTTGCAAGGATAACATAAAAAAGTAGCAAATTTGTCAAGTCCAGCCTCCAGTGATGTAAATGTAATACGTTTATTTATTATACTTCACGTAAAAATGCAATATTTTGATTGGCTTATACGAGGTTGTTAATTTACTCTATTCTATGGTAAATACTCTATTATTCTTCACGGAGACGCTTGATCAAGTGTGCGCTTTATTAAATACGACTCTATCCTATGGCAAATACTCTATTACCCTTCACGGAGACGCTTGATCAAGTGTGCGCTTTATTAAATACGACTCTATCCTATGGCAAATACTCTATTACCCTTCACGGAGACGCTTGATCAAGTGTGCTCTTTATTAAATACGGATGGTTGTCATGTACAAGACGTCATAGTTTATTACTTTGAATTTGAAATTTAATCGACAGTAATAACAGAACATTCAGTATAATAAATTAGATAACACATATCTGAGAGGGTGATAGAGCAGATTGTTACCCCTCGAAAAGACATTGTCAACCTTGGCTTCGCCTCGGTTGACAATGTTTTCTCGGGGTAACAATCTGCTCTATCACCCTCTCAGCTATGTGTTATTTATATATTAATACTATCTTAAGACCCATCGTAGTCATTGGCAAAAACATTACCATCAGCTAAATGTTAAAAGTCTTCATAATCCAGAGCTTTGATGACCTTCTGTCACATCTTCATAATCCGCTAGGGATACTTTACATAAGAACTATTCTTTTTTTTTTTCATTGCCTTTTAATTTTCGTAAATGTTTAAGAGATTATGTACGAGACAAGGGATGCTTAGATATATTTTCGCCAATATACAGATTGGTCAGTATAATTTGTGTTGTAGGTCTTTTCCATCTTTTCCACCAGTAAGATCGGAACCTTTACGTAATGAAAAGGGGAAATTTCTTCCTATTCAGTCTATTAAATTGATGCTATCAAAATCAGAAACGTTCTTCATCACAAAAAGGTAACATATAAAATTCTAATTTATTTTCAAAATCAGTCTGTTCTGATTGTATCCTACAGTTACACCAAAACCATTGTACCTAAAGTATTTAACTATAAACA